GCCACCGCAGCCTCGACCTGCTGGGCTCCGGCGATCCTTCTGCCTCAGCCTTCCAAGTAGCTGGAACTACAGGCATGCGCTACCACGCCCGGCTGATTTTTTTTATTTATTTATTGTAGAGATGAGGTCTCGCTGCCCAGGCGGGTCTCGAACCCGCGGGCTCAGGCAATCCACTCACATCAGCCTCCCAAATGTGCGGGATTACAGGCTGAACCACCGAGCCCGGCTTGGTATTTCCTTTTAAAAGAAAAACTGCAAGCTTTAAAGACCCGCCAGGCCAGTTTGTTTAAAAAGGCCAAATGGGCCGGGCTCAGTGGCTCAGCCTGTAATCCCAGCACTTTGGGAGGCCAAGGTGAGTGGATTACCTGAGCCTGCGGGTTCGGGACCCGCCTGGGCAACTTGGCGAGACCGCATCTCCACTATAGATCCAAAACTAGCCGGGCGTGGTAGCGCGCGCCTGTCGTTCCAGCTACTCGGAAGGCTGAAGCAGAAGGATCGTCGGAGTCCAGCAGGTCAAGGCTGTGGTGGCCGGGAGCAGCCATTGCACTCCAGTCTGGGCGACAGAGTGAGACTCCAACTCAAAAAAAAAAAAAAAGAAAAAGAAAAAGTCAAATGGCCAGAGACTGATGGCTCTCATGGAAATGCAAAAGAGTAACTAATTCACAGACTTATCCAAGACCCCTCTTGGAGTTGACGTTTACAACCCGGGTTGCAGACCCTGCTGCCTTGCATTTCCTGAAAACCATTTGTTCTTTGAAAAATCTGATTTTGCTGAGTACAACCTTGTAAGATTCCAAAGGAAATATATAATCACTCAACACGATCCCCTCCCTTACCTAAACAAGGGTATAAGACCCCACTTCTCCCGTTCTGGGGGACTCGAGCTCCATTTGGATGCATCAGCTCCGCGAGCCCACTGGGACAGCCAGCTTAATAAAGTGCCACTTTCTATAACAGTCTCGGTGTCACGATCTCTCTGTCTTCCCGCTACAGTTCTAGCTACTTGGAAGGCTGAGGCTGAAAGATTGTCTGAGCACAGCAGGTCAAGGCAGCAGCAGAAGCCATAATCATGCCACTGCACTCCAGCCTGGGCGACAGAGTGAGACTCCGACTCAAAAAGAAAGAAAAAAGAAATGTGATCCAGGCAACTCCCTTAGGTCCCCTCCCACTGTGGGAACTTTTCTGTCCTCTTTTTTTGTTTGTTTGGTTTTTTTGTTTGTTTGTTTTGAGTTGGACTCTCACTCTGTCGCCCAGACTGGAGTGCAGTGGCCGCTCCCGGTCACCGCAGCCTTGACCCGCTGGGCTCCGGCGATCCTTCCACCTCAGCCTTCCATGTAGCTGGAACTACAGGCGCGCGCTACCACGCCCAGCTACTTTTTGATTTATTGTAGAGATGAGGTCTCACCAAGTTGCCCAGGCGGGTCTCGAACCTGCGGGCTCAGGCAATCCACTCACCTCAGCCTCCCAAAAGCGCGGGATTACAGGCTAAGCCACCGAGGCCGGCTTCTGTCCTCTTAATAAATCCTGCTTAAAAAAAAAAAAGAACAAAGAAATGTGATCCCTGTATTGGAGGTAGGGCCCTTGGAGGGGGCGGTGTTTGGATTCCCTCTGAATGGCTTCGTGCCATTCTAGCAGCAATGAGTGAGTTCTTCCCCTCCGTTCCCATAATCACTGGGTGTTGAAAAGAGAATGACACCACCTACTCTTGCTTTTGACTCTGCCCTCTTGGCATGCGATGCCTGCTCCCTTCTGTCTTCTGCCATGACGGGGAGTGACCCCAGGCCCTCACCAGGGCACATGCTGGCACCATCCTTCTTGTCCAGCCTGCAGAACTGTGAGCCAAAGAAACCACCTTGGTTAGAAATGATTCAGCCTCAGGTATTCTTATACACCAGACGTCGACCTAAAAAACAGAGAGGAAGACTCCCTTGAAAATATTATGTTTGGCTGGGCCCAGCATCTCATACCTGTCATCCCAGCACTTTGGGAGGCAGATGTGAAAGGATTGCCTGAGCCCAGAGATTTGAGACCAGTCTGGGCTACTTGGCAAAACTTCACCTCTGCAACCAATCAAAAAATGAGCTGGGTGTGGTGGTGCATGCCTGTGTTTCCAGCTACTCTGAAGACTGAGGTGGAAGGATCACATGAGCCGAGCCCAGCCGGTCAAGTGAGAGTGCCACTGCACTCCAGCCCGGGTGACAGAGAGAGACTCCAACTCAAAAAAAAAAGAAAGAAAATATTATGTTTATTTGGGAATAGGCATTGCAATGGAAATACATGTGCAATTAAAAACTACATGTGCATTAAGCCAAATAAAGGAAGACGAAGATTTAGAAATGAAAGAGAATTGCACGCTAGTATTGAAATAATTATTCTTGGTTACAAACATCAATAATAAAGGTGATATCACTCTAACACGGGACAAATATTAGCTAGGCAGCAGACCTATCAGACATAATTTTTTGAGTAAGGTTGCAATTGCCTTTATCAAATTTATGCTTTTTATAGGGTCCTTTGTGATAGTTTTCATTACCAGGTATTTGTCCATAAAAATTAAAGGCCCTCCAGGACTCCATTTATTGGATTTTTTTTTTTTTTTTTTTTTTTTTGAGTTGGAGTCTCACTGTCGCCCAGACTGGAGTGCAGTGGCCGCTCCTGGCAACTGCAGCCTCGACCTACCAGGCTCCAGTGATCCTTCCACCTCAGCCTTCCAAGTAGCTGGAACTATAGGCGCACTACCACGCCCGGCTAATTTTTTTTTTTGGTTTATTGTACAGATGAGGTCTCGCCTGCCCAGGCGGGTCTCAAACCCGCGGGCTCAGGCAATCCACTCACCTCAGCCTCCCAAAGGCATGGGATTACAGGCTGAGCCACCGCGCCCGGCTTATTGAATTTTTTTTTTAACCCAAGTGATTCCATCTTCATATACACAATTCTCAGATTGTGTGTCTGCCAGTGTAAAAGATACATGAGACTCAGTTGGTACCCACTTCTGAAAATTCCACCTTCAGGGATGTCCTGTGGTAGTGTGAAGCTGACCAGGTGGTGAATGATCCCGCAGAAATAGGAAAATGCCGCATATCGGGAATTAGGAAGACCATTCCCACATAGGCCTGCAGGCAACACCCCTGCCCCCTGGCCCCACCCCCTCCTAAGCCAGCTCTGACCACACAGTACACCCCACAAACCCTCATGGGCGGCCTCGGCACAGTGGGCCCAGAGTAGTCTGTGCCCCCGAAGGTCGAGGTGGCAACAGATAGGCCACACCAGGTATTTGCACGGGGAGGACTTAATGGCAGAAACTGATCACAAGCAACACCGCTAATAGGGTGGCAGACAGGTGGAAACTGTTAGAAACGGCAGCCCGGTGAGGGGGACCCAGGGAGGAGGCTGAGAGGACCAGAAATCTGGAAGCCAGAGGAAGCCCGGGGGTTCCTCAGTGGGTGCCGCTGGGGCCCCTCAGGCTGCTCCGGAAGCCTGCCCAGCTGAGCCGCCAGCCTGAAGGGCCATCTCTCCTAGCGCAGGGTCCAGGTCTCTGGCCTCGGTGTCCCCGGCCACCTCCATTTTGGAGAAGGCAGACCAGCAGCAGGGAGAACAAGCTGCTCCCTCAGCCTGGCCCGGAGCGGCCGTCCTGTGACCCAGCTGACCTTTCCCTGTTCCTGAGAAGGGGTCCCCAGGCCCGACAGCCCCCGAGTTGTCTCTGTCCAGCCCCTGGGTTCCTCCTGCTGGGTCTGTGGCCGAGAGCCCAGGTTACCCAGCAACCACCCAGCCAACCTAGGTGGCATGCTGGGCCCTCGGGCTGGGAAGGAGAGTGGAGTTGCACAACATGTCTCCCTGAGCCCTGAGGAGCTTCCACAGGCCTGGAATCTTCCAGTCTCCCCCCACAGCCTCCTCTCCAGGCAACAAGCCCCAAGGTCCCTGTTCCTGAGCCTGGAAGGACACAGGGAGGTTGAGGGCCCCCTCCCCCCCGAAGCAGGGCTGCAGCCCAGGGAAGGACCATGGATTTCAGCAGAGAAGGTCTGTGACAGGGAAGGTGTGGGCTTGGGGCGGGGCCCTGGGGGGCCAGGCAGGGCCCTGAACGGGAACAGTGAAGTCCTGCAATTGCCGTCTGGGGTGGGGAGACTCCCAGGCCGGGTGAAGCGCCCAGGACTCCTCCACCCCTAGAGAGGAGGGGTGAGAGTCAGCTGAGACTTGTGCCGACTTGGGTTTTGGGACCGGAAGTGCCCTCCCATTCCCACTTGGCCCTCGATCCTTGCTCCCACCCTGGCCTGGTGAAACATGACACTCAGGAATTGGTCCCGCCCTCCCGGGTCCCCAGCCAACTCCAATTCGTTCAACAACAGGAAAAAAAGAGAGACCGAGAAATCGAAACTGCTGGGGAAGGAGAAAGCAGACGCGCTCCCAGCACCCAGACCCCGCAGCGCCCCCGTCTCCAGCCATGCACCACACTTCCCAGACCTTCTTCACTCGGGCCAGCGCCGGCGCCCCCCCGAACTATGAGATGCTCAAGGAGGAGCACGAGGTGGCCGTGCTGGGGACGCCCCACGGCCCCGTTCCCACGACGTCCACCGTGATCCACGTCCACAGCGACACCTCCGTGCCCGACCACGTCGTCTGGTCCCTGTTCAACACGCTCTTCCTGAACGTCTGCTGTCTGGGCTTCATCGCCTTCGCCTACTCCGTGAAGGTGCGTGTGGGCCCCTGGGGGCGTCCGGGAAGGTGCCTGTGAGCCGGGCAGCTCCACCGGCCCAGGGCGGCCGGGGTGAGGCTGTGTGATCTTGTGTGTGAGAGTTGGCGTGTCTCCTCTCCTGGTGTGCCCTCCTCTGCGTGTGTGTAGACCTAGGTGGGGGCTCGGGGCTCCCCCAGGGCGGGACCCGGAAGAGTGTGCATGGGGCTGACTGGGTCAAAGAAAAAAGAAGAAAAGAAAATGATACCCGCAGAAACATTAACCAAAAGGGAGCTGGTCCGTCGACATCATTGCTCAACAATGTAGACTTTAAGGGAAAGGGCATTACCAATGAGATATTTCATGAAGAAAAGAACCCCACACTTAGGTAGGGCATGCTCAAAGGGCAGAAATAATGAAAAAAGCCAGACTAGGACAGCAAAATCAGAGCCAAAGCACCTTACTTGTAGAAGAACAAGGATAAGGATCAGAGCAAGGCCGGACTCGGTGGCTCAGCCTGGTACCCCAGCAGCCCCAAACCAGAAGTGACCGGACAGACCGTGGCACCCCAGGCCCTCTCAGAAAGTGCAAAGGAACCCAGGGGACGTCCCCAGGGTGGGGTGAGCCAGGGAGGAGGGAGGATGAGCCCTGAGGCTGCGGGAGAGTCCAGAGTGTGAGGAAGGGAGGAGTGGTTCCGAATCTCTGGGAAGGGTGGGGGGAGGAGCAGGTTGGGGAGGAGCCAGGGTCCCTGGGTCACAGGACCTGGCTCTCCTCTGAGCCTCTGCCGGTCCCCTCACCGGCTCCCTCTGTCTCCCCAGTCTAGGGACAGGAAGATGGTGGGCGACGTGACCGGGGCCCAGGCCT